TTCCTTCCTTCCTTCCTTCCTTTCTTCCTTCCTTCCTTCCTTCCTTCCTTCCTTCCTTCCTTCCTTCCTTCCTTCCTTTTTCTCTCTTTATCTTTCTCTCCTCCCTCTCCTCCCCCTCTCCCTTCTTCCCTCCCTTCTCTCACCTCTCTCTTTCCCACTTTTCTCTTCTTCCCTCCCTGTCATTCCTTTCTTCCCCTCTCCTACTTTCTTCCTTCCCTCCTTCCTATTCTTTCTTTTTTTGGGTAGGGGCAATATTTCTGTTTGAATTTAGAGCTTCATGCTTATTTGGCTTACTTGACTAGTGGTCTACCACTTAAGCCATATGTCCAGCCCTTTGTTTTTGTTAGTTAATTAGAGACAAAAATCTCCCAAACTTTTTGCCTAGGCTGGCTTCAAAATCGTAATCTCCCAGATCTGAGAAGCTAGGCCTATTGCAGGGGTGAGCTGCTTTTCCCCCCACCCTGGTCCTGGGGATTAAATACAGGGTTTCGAGCTAGTGTTCTACTGCTTGAGTCACACCCCTTGGTATGTGTAACTTTTGGAGAAAGTGCCAGGTTGCTTTTCAAAATGAATATACCATTTTACAATCTTTCCAGTAGTATATTAATGTTTAAGTTGCTGCACATCCTTTCTAACACCTGGTATAGTTAACTGTATTAATTTTAGACATTCTAATGGTGTATCATTCTGGATTTAATGTTTGGTTTTTTCCCCCTGTAATCACTGACGCTGTTGAACATCTTTAATGTGTTCACTTGCCATCCATATATCTTTCTTGGTAAAAATCTTTGTTTTCCCTCTCCTTTTTTAATTTAGCTATTTAAAAAAAATTATTGTTGAGTTTTGGGAGTCCTTTAGATACTTAGGTATAGAAGTATTTGCTTCCAAAGATTTTTCTCTGACTCCATGACTTGTCTTTTTTTCTTCTTTTTTGAGTACAGAGGATTAAACTCAGGATCTCATCTTACTAGGCAGGTGTTTTCCACTTTATCACTTGAAGCCAACCTAGACCATATAGTAAGACCCAGTCTCAAAAAATGGGAGAAAAAAGGAGGATTAGATAGTTATTTATGCAATGCTTTGTATTGATTTTGATTTGTTTTGATTTTGTGTCTATATATAAAACATGAAACATTTGGAAGAGTGGTTATTATTGGCTTTATGTTTTCAACAATGTTGTATTTTCCTCATATGATACACGTTTTAGGTATTAAGTTTGCCTGGTTTGTAAGAATAATTATATGTAAATTTGAGTGATCTATTAGAGAAGTGAAAGCTATTTACCTGTATTTTATGATATATACTATTGCACTATTGCCTTTTGCTTTTAGATTAGGAGATTATCTTGTTTATTATGTGTAAAATTAATTTAACTTCCAAACTTTATCAATGATTGCATGTAGACATTAGTAACTTTTAATATCAATAACTTTTTTTTTTGGGGGGTCTAGTCGTGAGGCCTGAACTCTGGGCCTGGGGGTTTTCCTCAGCTCTTCAGCTCAAGGCTAGTGCTCTACCACTTGAGCCACAGCGCCACTTACGGCTTTCTTTTTTCTTTTTGCTTATGTGGTGCTGAGGAATTGAACCCAGGGCCTCGGGCATGCAAGACAAGCGCTCTACCACTGAGCCACCTTGCCAGCCCCTATCAATAACATTTTAATATTATAACATAGTAACATTTTTTACCTTCCTGACCTCTTATTGGAATTGATTACTTTCTGACATTATAGAGGTGTTTAAAAAATCTTAGATGCAGTATAAGGTTTTATGCTAGTAGGATAAAAATATGTGTATTGTACTGGCAAGCTAATGTGGTGAATCATAAGTCACTTTAGCACAGCCCTCCTTTGGAGGTACCAAGGTTTGAACTCAGGGCCTTGGGCTGGCTAAGCAAGGGCTTTTCTACTTGAATCTCACCTCTAGCTGGAGAATGTACATAATGTATCACTGAATGCATATTAAAAAGAGCCAAATACATAATTATTATGGGTATTTTGCTACACACAAAACACTTAAACTTGTTTGTAAAGTACTTCTTTCTTCATGTCAGTAACATATATGATTGCCCAAATTCTTGTGGTCCAATTTAGAACAAGTACAGGATGAAGGATCTCTGCTAAGATGCCAGGTCCATTCTTGTTTGGTTCATCTATAAAGGCAAACTCTAACAAGCAGTGTTTGTCATCTGCCTGAATTTTAGAATGAACGGTGGAAAAATATAGAAGAGTAGAAGACATGGAAATGGTATTTGAAGGATTCATTCTAAGCAGCTTGTAAAGCATTATGGATAAATCTTCTTTATCCAGTTCTATCACATAAGAATTCTATCAATTCCGCTGGGTGCTGGTGGTTCACGCCTATAAACCTAGCTCCGCAGGAGGCTGAGATCTGAGGATCGTGGCTCAAAACCAGCCCGGGAGGAAAAGTCTATGAGACTCTTTTTTTTTTTTTTTTTTGGGTCCAGTCATGGGGCCTGAACTCTGGGCCTGGGCGCTGTCCCTCAGCTCTTCAGCTCAAGGCTAGCGCTCTACCACTTGAGCCACAGTGCCACTTCTGGCTTTTTTCTTTTTGCTTATGTGGTGCTGAAGAATCGAACTCAGGGCCTCAGGCATGCAAGGCAAGCGCTCTACCACTGAGCCACCTTCCCAGCCCCTATGAGACTCTTACCTCCAATGATCCACCAGAAAACTGGAAGTGGTGCTATGGCTCATGTATAGAGCGCTCTCCATGAGCTGAAGAGCTGAGGGACAGCGCCCAGGCCCTATGACCAACCAAAAAAAAAAATTCTATCAATTCATAAGAATATGAAAAATAATTTTGGAGCTGTATCATTTCAAAAAATGTTAGGCTAATCATATGTCTCAGGCTTGGAAAATGGTGTAACTAGAATTACTTTATGGTCTAATGCTATTTTAAATGTATAGTTCCAATCTTTTAAAAATTTAAAATGCTTTCATAATAACATTTTTGTTTACTTCCAGTAGGCAGAACCAACTAAAAGACCAACAGCAACAGCAAGTGGTGTCATTATGCCCTGATGACACAGAGTGTCTCACGGTGCCCAGGTACAAGCGAGATCTGGTTCAGAAACTAAAAATCTTGCGGCAAGAACTTTCTCAACAACAGCCACAGGCTGGCCATTGCCGCATCGAAGTTTCCAGGGAAGAGATTTTTGAGGTAAATCAGTCCCTTCCTTCTTCCGTCCCTCCCTCCATCCCTCCCTCCCTCCATCCCTCCCTCCCTCTGTCCCTTCCTCCCTCCTTTCCTCCTTCCCTCTCTCTCCCTTTCTCCCTTCTTGGGAAATTTTTGGATTTGAATTCTGGGTGTTATGCTTGTTAGACTGGTGCTCTATCACTTGAGCCATGCCTTTAATCTTATTTTTAAAAAGGAAAAATTAAATTTCGTGTTTTGCTCTTTTCCAGGAGTACTGTTGTTGGACTCTTTATAAGAGTGTGTGTGTGAGAGAGAGAGAGAGAAAGAGAGAGAGAGTGCGTATGTATGTATGTGTATGCTGTGTGTGCTGTGTGCACTGCATGTTCCTGGTCTGGGGTTTGACTCAGCCTGAGCATTGTTCCTTAGCTTTTTCACTCAAGGCTGGTGCTGTACCCCTAGAGCCATAGCACTATTTGCTTTTTGGTGGTTAGTTGGAGATAAGAGGTTCACAAACATTTCTGCCTGGGCTGGCTATGAGCTATGATCTTCAGATCTCAATTTCCTCAGTAGCTAGGATTAAAGGTATGAGCCACTGCACCTGGCTAAATTTTTTAATTATAGGAAGCAAAAGTCAATAATATTGGGGAGACAGTGTAGAAGGTAAGCACTTATTGAATGATAATTGCTAGGTAAGCTAATTGGTTTAGTTTGGTGTCTGCATTGCAAATACTTATTTGTTATTGAATTTAAATGGTCATAAATATCCATCATGTATGTTTTAACTGCTCTGAATGGTAAGAGATTCATAAATAAAAAAAGCTCTTATGTTTCACTACTATTGGACTATTTAATTTGTTGAAAAATCTTTCTTTCTGATATATACTTTTAACTTTGGATTATAGCCTGAAAGTCAACTGAAAGGTGGTAGAGGTCAAAGGCAGGTATTTCCTTCTCTGGAGATTGCTGAACAAGAGGCTAGTGGGACTTGATAATCCTTGTGCTAAAGGGTGAATTTTTCCCCCTCTGAGAGAATTCTTAACCTTGTTTGTAGATGTGAGTTGAAGCTCATTGTATATCTGCATAGAAATTTCACAATGAAATCCCTTTGTGTATAGCTAGTGTATGTTAATAAAAAAGCCAAAAAAAAAAGATGTAAAAGTTATCTATGGAATGAACATATGAATGATTTTACCTAAATTTTCTGATTTTTAACTTTTTAAAAAATATCTGTTGTGGGGCTTGAACTCAGGACCTAGGTGCTGTCCCTGAGCTTTTCTATTCAAGTAGTGCTCTACCACTTTGAACCACAGCTCCACTTCTGGTTTTCTGGTGGTTAATTGGAGATAAGAGTCTCACAGATGCCCAGTGCTGGTGGCTCACGCCTGTAATCCTAGCTACTCAGGAGGCTGAGATCTGAGGATCACGGTTCAAAGCCACTCTGGGCAGGAGAGACCGTGAGACTCCTATCTCCAATAAACCACCAGAAATCCGGAAGTGGCGCTGTAGCTCAAGTGGTAGAGCGCTCGCCTTGAGCTGCAGAGCTGAGGGACAGCGCCCAGGCCCAGAGTTCAAGCCCCACAGACTTTCCTGCCTGGGCTGGCTTTGAACCGTGATCCTTAGATCTCAGTCTCCTGAGTAGCCAGGATTACAGGCATGAGCCACTGGTACCTGACTTAACATTTACTTTCTTCTAGTACCTATGACCTAAAATTAGGTCAACCAATGTTTAAAAGTTCAGTATCTCTCGGGACTGGGAAAGTGAGGGTGGCTCAGTGGTAGGTAGAGCGCTTGCCTCGCATGCATGAAGCCCTCTGTTGGATTCCTCAGCACCACATAAGCAGAAAAAGCCAGAAGTGAGGCTCAAGTGGTAGAGCTCTAGTCTACAGCTGAAAAGCTGAGGGACAGCGCCCTCGCCCAGAGTTCAGGCCCACAACCGACCAAAAAAAAGAAAAAAAAAATTCGATATCTCTACCATAGTTCGATTTTAATGTTGAATAATACTGTAAACTATGATTCTTAGAGCTAAAATATGGAGTTTGCATCTGGTAGACTTAGAATAAAATATTTATCAAATGACTTCATTGTAGTAGAAGTAAAATCTCTCCCTCCCTCCTCCCTGTCTCTACATTTTGTTTCAGAAGTCCCATGAATCTTTTTTTTTTTTTTGGTCAGTCATGGGGCTTGAACTCTGGGCTTGGGTGCTGTCGCTGCACTCTTCAGCTCAAGGCGAGTGCTCTACCGCTTGAGCCACAGAGCCACTTCTGTTTTTCTAGTGGTTTATTGGAGATAAGAGTCTCACGGACTTTCCTGCCCGGGCTAGCTTTGAACCAGGATCCTCAGATCTCAGCCTCCTGAGTAGCTAGGATTACAGGCATGAGCCACCGGTGCCCGGCGTCCCATGAATCTTGTTTCATGAAGTTTAGAATCTGTTCATAGGACCAGTATTATTGTTGTTGTTTTGCCAGTTCTACAGCTTGAACTCAGGGCCTCAGCACTGTCCCTGAGCATTTTTTCACTCAAGGCTAGCACTCTCCCACTTGAACCACAGCATCACTTCTGGCTTTTTCTGTTTATGTGGTACCGATGAATCAAACCCAGGGCTTCATGCATGCTAGGCAAGGACTCTACCACTAAGCCACATTCTCAGCCGAATCAGTGAATTTTAAGCTTATTTAAATTTGTGGTTGATAAAGGGAGTGTTTAAATAAGAGGCTGGTAATAACAGCACCTGGTAATGACAATGTATTAATTGCTTTTTAGGAATCTTACCGACAGGTCATGAAAATGAGACCAAAAGATCTCTGGAAGCGATTAATGATTAAATTTCGAGGAGAAGAAGGCCTTGACTATGGAGGGGTTGCAAGGTAAAGACTTGTTTACAGTTAGTGACATGCATCTTTTTATTTTTTTTTGGTCGGTCGTGGGGCTTGAACTCTGGGTTTGGGTGCTGTCCCTGTGCTCTTTAGCTCAAGGTGAGGGCTCTATTGCTTGAGCCACAGTGCCACTTCCAGTTTTCTAGTGGTTTATTGGAGATAAGAGTCTCACGGACTTTCCTGCCCGGGCTGTTTTTTTTTTTTTTGTCAGTCATGGGGCTTGAACTCTGGACTTGAGTGCTATCTCTGAGCTCTTCAGCTCAAGGCGAGCACTCTACCGCTTGAGCCACAGTGCCAATTTGTGTTTTCTAGTGGTTTATTACAGATAAGAGTCTCACGGACTTTCCTGCCCGGGCTGTTTTTTTTTTTTTTTTGGGTCCGGTCGTGGGGCCTGAACTCTGGGCCTGGGCGCTGTCCCTCAGCTCTTCAGCTCAAGGCTAGCACTCTACCACTTGAGCCACAGCGCCACTTCCGGCTTTTTTCTTACGTAGTGCTGAGGAATCGAACTCAGGGCCTTGAGCATGCAAGGCAAGTACTCTACCACTGAGCCACCTTCCTAGCCCCCGGGCTGGTTTTGAACCGCAATCCTCAGATCTCAGTCTCCTGAGTAGCTAGGATTATAGGCGTGAGCCACTGGCGACCAGCTGTGACATGCATCTTTATACTTAGGAAATATAAGATTCTTCTTGTAACTTCTATGACATTTATTTTCTAGTACAATGTTTCTTGGGTTTTATAGAGAGGAAATCCTAATAGTTACATTGACACTGAGATTAGAGGAGTACTATTACCTTTCTACTCCCAGATGCGTGATAGGACCCAACCAGACTTTCTCTGAAAAGTAGCTGCATTCCATTAAGGACTGTTAGTAGTGCTTGCAGGCCTGCAATTTCACTATCTCTTCTTCAGCATGTGTTTTTCCTCTATTTTACATTGTCAGAAATAGTTTACAGGTATGGCTCAATGTAAGAGTGCCAGTACTGCAAAAAAACAAAAATGAAACCCAATTTTGTCAGGAACAGCCTTGAGATTTTTTCTCTGGCTCTTTGTTGTGGGTTTTTTTTTTAAACATTGAATGCACATAGATGAGCATATGTGTATATCTCATGATATATGTATGTTTTCATATAGAGGGCAGCATGTTGCTGCTATATTTATGTATTCAATTATACATCAAGTCTAATTGATTCTTTGTGGGGAGAGGTTCTTTTGTGGTGCTGGTGATCAAACAGTTAGGGAACCTGATTTGCCACTGAGCTGAATCCCACCAAATCAGTATATTTCTGGTGTATACACACACACACACACACACACACCCATACATCAAATCAGTATGTTTCTGGTACACACACACACACACACCCGATTTGCGACTGAGCTGAATCCCATCAAATCAATATGTTTCTGTTACACACACACACATCAAATCAGTATGTTTCTGGCGAGCGCGCACGTGCGCGCACACACACACACATTTGCCACTGAGCTGAATCCCATCAAATCAATGTGTTTCTGATACACACACACACACTGGTACACACCCCCCACTGGTACATGCACACCCCTGTATCAGAGTGAGCTGAATGCCATCAAATCAGTATGTTTCTGGTACACACACA